TATAAAAAAATAATGCAATACAACAGAACAATTCATACATACACAGAAACAAGCCCCCTGTGACTGAGAATAGTGATTGTGCGCTCCAGGATGTAGTGATGTTGTTGATACTGTTTGCCATATGGGAGAAAGGAGGCCATACAGTGAACTGTATATGATATACACTGGGCAGGTCTGTTTTTGTTTTTTGTTTTTGTTTTTTTATTAAACAATAAGAAACATAAATTATTCTTGTAATAAAATTAATCAGAAAAGAGTTTACTGAGGTCATGAATCAAAGGTGCCTGGTGGTAATTTTCCTAGTTACCTTCTGCAGCCAGAGGTGGCACCTCCTGCTGGTCACTGGACTGAATGGACTCTACCTACTGTATCTATACATTACAGTTTTTTCTGATGGCTTAAGCACATTTTTTGTAACTATTGGCTATTTTTGCAAAACTCTACACACAAATAAGAAAACCCTTCACCCAATCAGCAAAACATTGTAGTTTTCTTGTAAAAGTGAATAACCCTTGCTTAACTCTCCACACCTTTGTAAAAATGGTATTTTCGTATCCAACAGTTAACACAAGCCATCATATTAATAAGCACACAATGCACCAACTAAACCTGATGGTATGAATAAAAAACACATCTGGCTTTTGCTTTCTCTGTGCACAAGGTAGGCTATGTCAGTTTGAGCTCATACTTTTGTCATAGGATCTGTAAACATAGAGGGATCCAAACTTCAAGTACTGGTGTTTATTCACACACATCAAAACAAACACAAGTGTTTATTTCCAAGTATAGGATTATTTGCAATCGCCATAATGACTATATGGGTTACTTGGTCTGCAGTGAACATGCTTCCTCTGCCCCCAGCATCTGGTCATCTAGCAATTCTGTAAAGTAACAATTTCAGTATTTTTACATCAATGGTATTGTGTGTGTTTCTCATTGGCATACGGCAGTGCTACAAATCTTTGTGCGAAGTGACTGTACTAACCGATTCTCAAAATGTCCTTATGATGCTTGCTACAGTGTAGCGGCTCGAGTTAGGCTGGACCCGTTGGCCAGCTTCCCTCAGGGTCATTCCACGGTTGATTACATGGTCCACTATTGTAGCTCTGATGTCATCAGCAATTCTATTTCTTACTCTTCCTTACCCTTCCTCTCCCCCCTCCTCGTCCTCCTCTTGCTCCTCCTTGTCCTTGTCGTCCTCTTCATCCTACTTCTTCACCTCCACGTCCTCTTCCTCGGCCTCCTCTACTTCTCACTCTTTCTGCTCCCTCCATTGTACTCCGACACACAGAGCTTACCTGTATTATAGTGCTTAGGCTGATTGCAAAGTGAACTAATTATCTAAAAAAGTTTTCACATGTGACAGTGTGCCAGACAGTTGGCAAAATAGTGTAAATAATGGCCATAAATGTGTATAGTTTTGCTAGGAGTGCGTTGATCATTTGGAAATTGAGTGTAAAGCAGTGAGTTGTGTTTACAGTTCTGCAAAAAGAGTGCTGTGCAGTGGATTGTAGCTACAGGTTTGCAAAGTGTGTGTTACAAAATGGCAAACTGAGTGCAAAGCAGTGTTTGTGCTTTTAGTTTTGCAAACTCAGTGAGTGGTTTTGCTATAAGTATTAATAGTTTTAGAAATTGTGCTATAAGAATCACAGTTAGGGTTTAAGCATTCAGAAAAAACTGTAATAACTTTTACTTTTATCTGGATAAAGAGCAGTGCCTGAAATGTCCATCTCAGCCTCCCCAGAAAGCTCAATGCAATCTTAATTATTTTTTCCAAAATATGACCACACTAGGAATAAGCTAAGAAGCCCGTGTAGGAGGTCTTCTAATGTAATGTCTCTGCTCTCATTTCTTTTTGTGTTTCCCTTTTCAAGATCCCCCCTTTAGGGCACTATTTTCACATTTACACACAAAGCAACTTACTGTTAAAATTGTACTTTTGTTTCTTATGTAAAAACATTAGAGCGATTCAACATTTGACTTGTGACACAGGAAGGTGACTTGAGATCAAAACGGGCTGTATGTGGCTTATATGTTTGACTTATTCTAAGTTATTTTAGTTCACTTGTACCAACATAGATGGGAATTCAATTACTATATTTCCTTAACGTTATGTATATTTTTTTTCATTCTGTTTATGTGGTCATAAGATTTAGAAAAGCACTTTGGCACTGTTCTTTTAAGATGTTCGACACATCTTGCCCGTGAAACAGTCTATGTGGATACTAAGTATCAAAATAACAAGTCTCCACTCTAACATCCTGTTACTCAGACACTGTAAATTCCCTATATCTGGATATTTTCTCTCTTCAGGCAGAAAGCAAAAGAAAAAAAAAGGTCACAGTTCGAGAAGCTCTACAGAAGCTGGCTCCGTCCTCTTCTGTTACTCTGTATTGAGACAGCACCATCTAGTGGAGGAAACAAATAGAGTTCGTACTTAACACATGAGCACTCCTCTACACACGGAGTTTGTGAGTAAACAAAGCATGAAACACACTCTGTTCAGGGATTAAAGGCATTTATTTTCCTCTTCAGTGTTTATCTAACACAAAGCATCAATGTTAGCGCCATTTATCGTTATTACATGTTTTATTTTGCAAAGCCTGAAAAGGATATGGTACTTTTGTTGTGAAAGGTTTGTGAGAAATAAAACAAGTGAATCCGATTATTAAGTGGTGACGTGACGAATCCTACTTCCGGGCCTAAAGTAGTCTGCATTTAATATGGCTTTTGTGTTGTTAACATGTTTACTGACAACTGAGAACACTCACGTTAACTTTTATCGAGTGGGAAAAAAAGTTAGCTTGTTTATATTATGCTAACATAGCTGTGTCGCTAGCGGTCACGTAGCACATCATTATATACCAGCTAGCCAACTTCAGTAACCCTACAAACGTCACTGCTGTTTAGTTTTCTGTCTTCATTTATGTTGGAAGTGATAACAGAGCTGTACGATTTTAATTTGTTTCCAAAACCCCGCAGTCAGGACATGCTATATTGTATTTAGATAGAAGCTAGCGAGCTAACTTCCTGCTAACTTCTAACTCCGTTAAATGTCATAAATTCCGTTTTCATGGATGCCTGGATGTTAAACTCATTGTTACACCTGGTAGAGCAGAACGCTGATCATTTTATTAAAGATGAAAGACTTTAGACAGTTTTTCAACTCTCAGTAATGCCATTTGATATATGGACCTGCAGCGGAGTTTAGGCCCAGACACGGCTAGTGACGTCAGACTGAACGATCGATAGAAGCAGGAATGGCGGAGCGACACGATGGTTTTACCGTCGTTGTCACAAACCGACGCGTAAAACAGCCTCTTGTCCATCCAGACTCTTATTTTAGATATAAGAGAAATTAGAGAACTCCAAGAAGAAACAAAGATAGCCATTACATTAAGTAAAACCATCATGCTCCCGAGCAAGACGACTGCATCGCTATGAGATCGTGCAAAGTTTGATACAGCAAGTCAGTTAAGTGCACAGAGCTGTATGCATGAAGAATCTAAGAAAAGAAGAAATAAGCTTTCATGGATAAAGTTTTGGACTATGATATGCTGCCAAGCATATCATATCATAGCCAAGCATAAAATTGAACAATTGCGATTCTCAACTTCTTACGTCAGTCGGTGTCAGTGACAGTGTTTTTGGTCTTAAGATGACATTCACTACGAAAGCCACATATTACCACAGATGGAGCACCCGCAATGGTTGGCCGCTTGAATGGATTTATTGCCAAGTGCAGGCAGGACGATGCTTTCCCGGACTTCCTAAATTACCATTGCATAATCCACCAACAAGCGTTATGCGCTAAAATGCTCAACATGAAGGAGATCATGAATGTTGCAACGAAGATCGCCTGTTCTATTCGCGCCAGATCTCTTCAAAGACGGTTATTTCGTGCACATCTGGAGAAGGCTGACTGCGACCACTCTGAGTTGTTGCTACACACTGACGTGAGGTGGCTTAGTCGAGGGAAATTCCTGCAAAGATTTCGAGAGCTCTGTCCGGAGATTAAGGAGTTTTTCCATGTAGCTGGACAAGCAGAATACATGCAACTTAATGACGGTCAGTGGCTGTTAGACTTGGCATTTTTAACCGATCTGACAAACATGTTGAATGACCTTAATCTACAGCTGCAAGGAAAAGACAAAACAGTGATCAACATGATCAGCTCAGTTAATGCTTTCAAACGAAAGATGCAACATCTCTCTTTAAAGCTGCAGCGCCATGATTTGATAAACTTTCAAAACCTGGCGTCAGAGCTGGAGATGCAGGGGATGGCCTGTTTGCAACTTGACAGTGCACGCTACACAGAGCAGATTGACAATTGTCTGTCAGAGTTTGACAAACGCTTTCAAGACTTTTCTTTGCTCGAGCCAGTCGCTACCTTCATGTGCTATCCTTTTCGGGAAGATGCTGAGGTCGATTCACTCGCATCAAAAATTGCAAAACTATTTCACCTGAACTCTTCTGGAGTGGAAGATGAGATTTTGACACTACAAGCCGACATTGAGCTGAAGTCCAGAGATCATGGACAGTTCTGGAACTTACTCACAGAAGTAAAGTACCCCAACATGAGGAAATGTGCTGCCTCTTTGACTGCATTATTCGGCTCCACTTATTTATGTGAGTCATCATTTTCCCACATGAAGATCATTAAGTCCAAGTACCGTTCCACCATGACTGATGAACATTTGGAAGTGTGTTTGAGGCTGGCCGTCAGCAGCTACTGTCCGGACTATGCATCCCTGGCTGATTCAATTCAGTGCAAGTCATCAGAGTAAACTCAGGTAATGACAAAAAATTTACATTGTTAATTGTGTTGTGAAATATTGGATATTGCGGTTATGCATGTATATACATTGTAGATATAAAGAATCCTCAATATATTTATAAATAAGTATATGTTTTGGATTTTTGTAGTGGGTAGATCATTTTGACTTGGTCATTTTATAAGTAGCTACATGCGGAAAAAGTGTGAGACCTGCCTACATGAACAGAGCATTCAATTGGCCACAAATCAAAACAGATGATGCAAAGGCTCTTCATAGCTATTCACTGTTTCTCACTGGTTGTAACAATGCAATGCAAGACATCAGTCAACTGCAAGAGATGGAGATCCCCACGAACCTCAGAGTTATTGTCTCTAAACTGCCATACAAAATGAGAGAAATGTGGAGAGTCTCTGCCTTTGACATTCAAGAAACAAGTGGAAGGAGAGCAAAGTTCTCAGATCTGGTTAGATTCATAAACAGACAAGCAAAAATAGCTGCAGATCCTTTGTATGGTGACATTAAGGATGCTGAAGACAAAGCAAAGTCATCTGCAAATGTGAGAATGACTAGATCATCCAGGCAAAGGGGAAGCACATTTGCTACAAGTGTAACACAAGCTGCAAATGAAAGGTCACCTGAAATTAATAAAAGTGCTTCTTGTCACACTAGCAATGCCTTCCAGAAACCATGCATATACTGTGAAAAACTCCATACACTGGCAGAATGTCAAAAGGTCAGAAACCAGCCTTACAAAGAAAGACTAGAGTTCCTTAAAGCAAAGGGTCTGTGCTTTGCATGTCGGACACAAGGTCATCTGAGTAAGGACTGTAAGAAAAGATCATTGTGTGAGTACTGCTCTAAGAGACATCCAAGTATGCTTCATTGGACAAAGGAGGAGGACAGTAAGGCAGAAGATTGCATCCAGAGAAATGTCTCAGACATTCCCACAACAAGTGATGAAACACACACTTCAGGCAGAATTTGTGGAGCCACAGGGGCCGGAAAAGGCATTCATGTGTTATCGATCATTCCTGTGTGGGTTAAGTTGAAGAAAGGCAATAAGTTGATTGAGACTTATGCATTCATGGACAATGGGAGCCAAGCCACGTTTTGTTCAGAAAAGCTGATGAGACAACTGGGTGTAGAAGGTAAGAAGACAAAATTCATGCTTCGCACAATGGGACAAGAAAAGATGGTGACAAGTTACCACCTGTCAGGATTAGAAGTGTGTGGTTTAAATGAGAACACCTACATAGATCTTCCTGACATTTACACTCATGCAGACATTCCAGTGTCTAGAGAGAACATCCCTACACAGGATGACTTAAAAAGGTGGCCACATCTATGCGCTTACCTGCTGCTCTCTGGCAGGTAGCTCCATGCCCTCCTGGGTTTTAAATGCACCTTAGAACACACATGCATCAACACTACAATGAGCGGGTGGAGGGAGGTTTGGAGTCTTCTCTCACCCCCATTCTCTGCGAGCCTGCTGGAGCGGGGGGGCTAGGAGGAGGAGTTGGCCGTCCGACTGCGGTCTGGAGTGTGGGCCTTCCTGCTGCTGCGGAGTCGGGGCGGTCTGCCTCCCCCCACCGCAGGGAAAAGGGAACACCACCTGGGTCTGGGTGCAGTTCCCCCCTCCAGGGGCAAGGGCACCTAGACCCGGTTGTAGAGTACGCTTGGGGAGTGTGATCGTGTGTACAGCGTCTCTTTATGTCTGTCTCCACGTTGGTTGAGTGTGGAGTAAGTGCATATGAGAGCATGAGGGTGGGAATGGATGTTGCTGTGTGTGCCTGTATACAGTGGGGCAAAAAAGTATTTAGTCAGCCACCGATTGTGCAAGTTCCCCCACTTAAAATGATGACAGAGGTCAGTAATTTGCACCAGAGGTACACTTCAACTGTGAGAGACAGAATGTGAAAAAAAAATCCATGAATTCACATGGTAGGATTTGTAAAGAATTTATTCGTAAATTAGGGTGGAAAATAAGTATTTGGTCACCTCAAACAAGGAAAATCTCTGGCTCTCACAGACCTGTAACGTCTTCTGTAAGAAGCTTTTCTGTCCCCCACTCGTTACCTGTATGAATGGCACCTGTTTGAACTCATCATCTGTATAAAAGACACCTGTCCACAGCCTCAAACAGTCAGACTCCAAACTCCGCCATGGCCAAGACCAAAGAGCTTTCGAAGGACACCAGGAAAAGTATTGTAGACCTGCACCAGACTGGGAAGAGTGAATCTACAATAGGCAAGCAGCTTGGTGTGAAAAAATCAACTGTGGGAGCAATCATCAGAAAATGGAAGACATACAAGACCACTGATAATCTCCCTCGATCTGGGGCTCCACGCAAGATCTCATCCCGTGGGGTCAAAATGATCATGAGAACGGTGAGCAAAGATCCCAGAACCACACGGGGGGACCTGGTGAATGACCTGCAGAGAGCTGGGACCAAAGTAACAAAGGTCACCATCAGTAACACACTACAACGGCAGGGAATCAAATCCCGCAGTGCCAGACGTGTTCCGCTGCTGAAGCCAGTGCATGTCCAGGCCCGTCTGAAGTTTGCCAGAGAGCACATGGATGATACAGCAGAGGATTGGGAGAATGTCATGTGGTCAGATGAAACCAAAGTAGAACTTTTTGTATAAACTCAACTCGTCGTGTTTGGAGGAAGAAGAATACTGAGTTGCATCCCAAGAACACCATACCTACTGTGAAGCATGGGGGTGGAAACATCATGCTATGGGGCTGTTTTTCTGCCAAGGGGACAGGACGACTGATCCGTGTTAAGGACAGAATGAATGGGGCCATGTATCGTGAGATTTTGAGCCAAAACCTCCTTCCATCAGTGAGAACTTTGAAGATGAAACGAGGCTGGGTCTTCCAACATGACAATGATCCAAAACACACCGCCCGGGCAACAAAGGAGTGGCTCCGTAAGAAGCATTTGAAAGTCCTGGAGTGGCCTAGCCAGTCTCCAGACCTCAACCCCATAGAAAATCTGTGGCGGGAGTTGAAAGTCCGATGTTGCTCGGCGACAGCCCCAAAACATCACTGCTCTCGAGAAGATCTGCATGGAGGAATGGGCCAAAATACCAGCTACTGTGTGTGCAAACCTGGTAAAGACCTATAGTAAACGTTTGACCTCTGTTATTGCCAACAAAGGTTATGTTACAAAGTATTGAGTTGTATTTTTGTTATTGACCAAATACTTATTTTCCACCCTGATTTACGAATAAATTCTTTACAAATCCTACCATGTGGATTCATGGATTTTTTTTTTTCACATTCTGTCTCTCACAGTTGAAGTGTACCTCTGGTGCAAATTACTGACCTCTGTCATCATTTTAGGTGGGGAACTTGCATGGTGGCTGACTAATACTGTTTGCCACTGTATGTCTGTGTCTATATGTCAGGTTGGGTGTCAGACGCCACCTCTCTGGGGACATCTCAGGCCCTCCAAGGTTTGGAGGCCTATCTCCCCCCACCACCACTTCCCCTGCCAGTGGCGGACTCCCTCAGACATCGGTGCGTTGGTGGTTCTTTGTGTCCGGGGATGGGCGTCCAGGTACACACCGGCTCACTCCTTGGCGGCCGCTTATCGGGGCCTCTCGGCCTGGGGCTCGGTCACTCAGGCACGGCTGGCTGCCGGCGGAGCTCACGGGCGCGTCACTGCAACTCCCCCTGGCTTCTGCTCCGCGGCTGCTGAGTGAGCCCTCATCTGGGACTCTCCTCAGCTCTTACTGGGACAGTGGCGCGGCTGCCCCTCTGTTGGTCTTCCTTGGTCTCTTGTGTTCTGGGGGCCTCTGGATGTCTGGAGTTTTGATCTCCTCCATACCTGCTTCATGCCCTGGAGGACGGGGCAGTGGCCCCCCCACACCCTCTAGCAGATCATTACATGAAGGAACCTTTTAAAAAAACAAGCGCGTCCATGCTCACAGGTGTACACACGGGTGATCACACCCACAAACTACACCCTTTTTGGCTCCTACCTCAAAGCACACTGTGTTCTGTTGATCTTATGTGCTGCACAATAATGTTTAATATTTAGTATTTACTGTCATATTCCCATATATCATTGTGATGTTGTTTATTCTATTACTCTTGTTCTCTTCTGCTTGTTTTCTTTTTTCTTTCTCAAGCAGGTGATCCAAGATTGCATTTTTTTCCTGCCCATTCTGTTGGTTTTTGTTTTTTGCCCTTCTCCCCCGTCCCTCTTCTCAGCTGTTTCTCTTTCCCTCTTTCTTTCTCCCCTTCTTTCCCCCAGTCAAGTCTGTCCCGTATTCAGCAAGTGAAAATAAAATAAACAATAAAAGGTGAATCAAATGGACCATTATGGCAAGGCTGGGATGGTCAATTTGGTAAAGTAAATCCGTTGGGCATCTTTCTTTGCCTTTAGACAACAAATTCTGATGGCAAAAGAGCCAAACGGGACAGGAAAAAAAAAAAAAAAAAAAGGTGGCCACATCTTCGGCAAATCAAGTTCCCACATTCAGACGCAGACATTGGACTTTTGATAGGATGTGATGTGCACAAGGCTATGGAACCATGGGAGATTATTCATAGTAACGATAACGGTCCATATGCTGTTCGAACAGTCCTGGGTTGGGTTATCAATGGCCCTCTCAAGAGAGATTCTTGCTCTACTCCTTCTGACAGAGAGCTGAGTGTTTCAGTAAATCGCATCTCTGTCACTAATGTTGAGAATCTTTTGATGCAACAGCTCAACTATGATTTTCCAGAGAAAGCTTCTGAGGAAAAACAGGAAATGTCACGAGAAGACATCATGTTTATGGATTCTGTCAATGGCACAGCTGGAAGGATTAATGGTCATTATAGCATAGGTCTTCCTTTGAGAAACAAAGCTGTCAAAATGCCAAACAACCGCAGTGCAGTAATGCAGAGGGCAGAGAATCTGAAAAGAAAATTAATCAGAAACACAGAGTTTCACAAGGAGTATCAGAGCTTCATGTCTGACTTGCTGAATAAAGGCTACGCAGTTCAGGTACCAAACACAAAGACTACCCCTGAAAATGAGAGAGTTTGGTACATACCACACCATGGGGTGTACCACCCCCAGAAAAGAAAACTCCGTGTAGTTTTTGACTGTGCAGCATCCTTTCAAGGGAAATCACTGAACGAAGAACTCTTGCAGGGGCCAGACCTAACGAACACACTGATTGGGGTACTAACAAGGTTTAGGTGGGATCACATTGCCTTGATGTCAGACATAGAAGCTATGTATCACCAGGTGCGAGTACCTCCAGAGGACAGTGATCTTTTGCGTTTTCTCTGGTGGCCAGATGGGAACTTGAATGAACCTCTGCAAGAATACAAAATGATGGTGCACTTGTTTGGGGCAACATCCTCCCCAAGCTGTGCAAACTATGCACTAAACAAAGCAGCAGAAGATGCTAAAGAAAAAATGCCACTAGCAGCAGTTAATGCTGTTCTGAACAATTTTTATGTAGATGATTGTCTTCTGTCAGTTTCAGATGAAACAGAGGCATGTACTATGGTCAGGGACCTGACTGCATTGTGTGAGAGTGGAGGATTTCACTTAACAAAGTGGATGAGCAACAGCAGAGTTGTCCTTGCTTCTATTCCTGAAAAGGAAAGAGCAAAAGAGATTAAAGATTTGGATTTGAGACATGATGCACTACCAGATGAAAGAGTCTTAGGAGTGAACTGGTGCACAGAGGCAGATGTATTCAAGATCAGGATAACTGAAAAACCTGTGCCAAAGACTAGGCGAGGCATCCTGTCATTTGTAAGTGCAATATATGACCCATTGGGCTTTTTGTCTCCTGTCATTCTGACAGCAAAAATCATCCTGCGAGAGCTATGTGGCAGGAAGATCTCATGGGATGAGGAAATCCCAGCTGAACTGGCTTAAAGGTCACAAGTTTGGCATTCAGAGCTTTCAAAACTTCATGGCTTTACCGTCAACAGGTGTTTGAAACCTGCTGGATTTGGAGTGGTCATATCTACACAATTGCACCACTTCGCTGATGGCAGTGAGAGAGGTTGTGGAGACGTTACTTACCTCCGTATCACAAACCAGAAAAGAGAAACTCACTGCTCATTCATTTTTGGCAAGTCCAGAGTGTCCCCTCTGAAGCAGATGACAATTCCACGTCTGGAGTTGACAGCAGCTGCAGTTGCTGTAAAAATGCACAAGCTCATGAGAAAGGAGCTGCAAATGCCACAAGAAGAATCTGTGTTTTGGTCTGACAGTACCACTGTTTTAAAGTACATTTCCAGCGAGAACATCAGATTTAAGACATTTGTAGCAAATAGAGTGTCACTTATTAGAGACAACACAAAACCAAGTCAGTGGATGTATGTGAACTCTGAATTAAACCCTGCTGACCACGCTTCAAGTGGAATGAACACAGACACATTCATGAAGTGTTCAAACGGGATTGCTGGGCCAGAGTTTTTGACAAAAGATAAGAAAAACTGGCCAATTCCACCGGACATTAAAGAAACACCAAAAAATGATGTTGAACGTCAAAGAGGTGATGAGTGTGGATGTTACAAAATTACATGAAAATCCAGTAAACAAACTGATCTCTCACTATTCAGACTGGTACCGTCTAAAAAAGGCAGTTTCCTGGATACTTATGTTCAAGCAGCTGCTTCGCAGGTTAAGTGCACATCGGAAGCTTCTCATGTCACAAGCAAGTGGCTGTGAAAGCAGCAAAAGGAAATCTGAAAAGGTTGCAGGTCAAATGCAGCAGTTCAAAAAATGTATTAAGGGATCTTCACTTACTACTGCAGATGTTGCAAAGGGAGAAACTGAGATTGTTAAGTTTTGTCAAAATCAAAGCTTCGCAGAAGAAATTGCAAGTCTTCAAAAAGGTGACAAGCTTAAAAGGAGCAGTCACATTGTGAAGCTGGATCCTTTTGTCCAGGATGGAGTTTTAAGGGTTGGCGGTAGGTTGCATGAGTCTGCACTACCAGCCGATGTTAAGCATCCAGTGATTCTCCCTAAAGGTCATCATGTTTCTACTTTGATTCTGAGACACATTCACCAAGAAACAGGTCATGGAGGAAGGAATTACACATTATCCAGGCTGAGATTCTGGATTCCACAGGCAGATTCAGCAATAAGAAAGATCCTGTCAAAGTGTGTAACATGTAGAAGGACATCTGCGAAACCTGGTGAACAAAGAATGGCAAACTTGCCACAAGATCGCCTGATTCCTGACAAACCTCCATTCACAAAGTGGGCATAGACTATTTTGGACCTTTTGAGGTCAAGCATGGGCGCAGCAGAGTTAAGCAATATGGTGTATTGTTTACATGTCTTGCTGTTAGAGCAATACACATAGAAGTTGCCCACTCACTTGAGACTGATTCTTGCATAAATGCATTCAGGAGGTTTATTGCAAGACGAGGTCAAGTGTCTGTCATGAGATCAGACAATGGCACTAACCTTGTGGGTGCAGAAAAGGAAATGCGTGAAGCAAGCAAGGGATGGAATCATTCAAAAATCTCAGAAATGCTCATGGAAAAGGGCATCACCTGGATATTTAACCCCCCAGCATGGTCACATTTTTGGAGGAATCTGGGAGAGGCAAATTCGCTCAGTTAGGAGAATTCTTAACCAGATCCTAAAGCAGCAACCTCTGGATGATGTATGTTTGCGGACATTGCTATGTGAAGTTGAAGCATTTGTCAACGGCAGGCCAATAACAAGAGCGGCTAATGACCCCAATGATTTAGACGCACTTACACCCAATCATCTACTTCTTCTTAAAGGGCAGCCAGTACTGCCACCTGGATTGTTTCAAAGAGAGGACTTGTATGCAAAAAAAAAAAGGTGGAGACAGGTGCAGTACCTGTCAGACATTTTTTGGAAGCGTTGGAATAAAGAGTATTTGCCGCTTCTACAAGAAAGACAGAAGTGGTTAGTGACTAGGAGAAATCTGAGACCAGGAGATGTTGTTCTCATAGTTGATGACAGTGCACCAAGAAGTTCCTGGTTAATGGGAAAGGTTGAGAAATCAGTTCCAGACTCACATGGACTTGTCAGACGTGTTTGTCAAAACCAAAACGAGCGTTTTGGAGAGGCCTATCGACAAGTTATGTTAATTGCTTGAAATGGAGGCAACAGTTTGAATCTCAGCCTCATGTGTAACAGATTTATGTTCAACACATATGACTTATGTTTCATATAATGTTTGGTTAAGCCAGTTAGATTCTGAGTGTTGATATTAAATGACGCTTTATTGTGTTAATATGTAATTGTTATGCCTTAGCAGTAAGAATTAGGGGCCGGAATGTTAGCGCCATTTATAGTTATTACATGTTTTATTTTGAAAAGCCTGAAAAGGATATGATGCTTCTTTTGTGAAAAGTTTGTGAGAAATAAAACAAGCGAATGGCGGAGCGACACGATGGTTTTACCGTCGTTGTTGCACAAACCGACGCGTAAAACAGCCTCTTGTCCATCCAGACTCTTATTTTAGATATAAGAGAAATAGAGAACTCCAAGAAGAAACAAAGATTGTTAATACTGATTGTAATGGCTATCATTATGTGATCAGCAGCTCTTCACAGACACTGGGTCAGTTCATCCGCCAGCACATTTAACACACATAAAGCAGCAAGGCAGCAGTTCTCTATAAAATGTTCACAATACTTGATTGCACAACGTCATCAAAGAGCAGATTAGTGGAAGCTGAAGAGGTTCAGTAATTTACACTGACATCACATTAACACAAAAACGGTAAAAATAAAACATCTGAAGATCACATTCACAAATATTTCGATTCAGTTTATTTAAAGTCCCCACACCACATTTTCAGTTTCCGATTTATTTTGCAGTGATTGCCATTCAAACATTCAAAATGACATTCATTTAAAGAAATCTCACGAAAACTCTTTTTTTCAATCAAGAAATTTAAACAACTCTGTAATTTTATTCTTAAGAAATGAGATCAAATGAATGGCTTGGAGTTCTTAAGTCCTGTACAGGACCTACAGGACTCGTGTCCACTTTGCTTCCTGCACAGACTCACTCGAAACCTGAACTTAATGAACATACAATAAAAAAACGTTCATGGGTATTCACGGTTACGGTCTGGACTTGGTCCCTGGTACAATGCTGCCAAAAACAATCATTTACACATGATTTACTGGTGATTTTGAACTTATTGCTTAATACCATTTATCCTAAATAAAGCCCTTGCTAGGCCTGATGTATGTTAGCAATCACCAATCACAAGCACTAAGGCAATGTTAAGACTGCATTAAAGATCAGTTTTAAGAGTGTAATCTGAAATTAGTTCCAGCCTAGAATTCATAGGCTCTGTAAGCCTTTGCGGATAAAAACATTTTGTGTTATAACTTTGTGTTTTAATCAAATGCACAATGACCATCTATCTTAGCACCCGGATAAACTTGTACTGAATTTCTTTTGTTGTCCAAGTAGTATCAAATTCTCTCTTAAAAATGATAGTTAAAAAAAAGAACAACAACATCCATCAGTTGATGCTTTGGGTGAAGTGTTCTCCAGAGTACTGGCCATAGTGCACAATATCCCTCTGGGCTGCAGCCCACGACATGTAGTTGCTGCTGAAGCGGGCAGCCCAGTGGCCCTGAGGATCCACTGTCACTACCCCGCCTAGCCCCCCAAGTCTGGACTGCATGCAGGCCAGGCCCAAGTCACTGGCATCTTCTACCGACCGACCTGACAAAAGAGGAGACACAAGAAACAGCACTTTAACTCTTTTTGTTTTAATTGAACAGTCTGGAGAGAGGCTCATTGTTACAGTTAGCATTTGTGCTAAAGTCAAAACTTGGTTACAGGAAGAAAACAAGAAGAGCTTTACTGGGATAATTGGTATACTGCTACAGTGAAGGGCAAATCAAGGAAAAACAAACAAAAACCTAGGTCCAAATAGCTTCCAGGACCCCAGAAACAGTGCGTGCAAGTCCCATGGGTAAAAAGGCTTAGTCGCGGCTCCTCTGAGGAGTTTTAGTTTTTTTCTGGATGTAAATAAATCAAATATGAGAGCTGAAGCTGTGTGTGGCAAAGTGTTACCAACCTCGCAGCTGGTTCTCAACCCCCTCAGCCACAGTGGCTCAGATTTGTGTGTGTGTGTATATGTTTAGACATCTTTGTGAGGACAGAAAATTGGCATGCTACTATACTTTTGGGGACCAACAGTCACTCACGGGGACAAGATGCCCATCCCCACAAGTCTGAAGGCATTTTTTAAGCTCAAAGTGTGGTTTTAGTGTCTGGGTTACAACTAGGTTATGGTTAGGCATTCATTTTTGATGGTTAGGGTCAGGGTAAGCGCTGGGGAAAGCATTATGTCAATGAGATGTATTTACTAAGATATGAAAACAAGTGTGTGTGTGTGTGTGTGTGTGTTACCTTGCTCCATGTGGAACAGGATGAGTCTGGCCAGTGTAATCTTCATGATGGTCTCACCGTGGCCTGTGGTGGACACTGCTCCTGACTGGTTGTCAGCATACCCTCCAGACCCTGACAAAGACAAAATATTTCAGCCGTCCTGCACAGCTTACTGAGCTGTTCTCTGGATCTTCCTGCAGCTATAAGCAGGTTTGGAAGCTTTATGAAAACACTGGCAACACCCAGAGGCAGCCCTGGGAGAACAGATTTTAGCCGTGTCTTTAATGATAAACTGACAGATGGCTAATGCTGCTGTTGTGTAGTCACAATTCTAATAATTGAACGGCTAATGTTATTATGTGCACCAGACGAGCATCATAACATTTATGATGACTGTTTAATATTTTGATGTTGTGAAACAGGAGCTTTACTGACCTCCCAAAATGCCTTATAAGGACCAGGGAGGTGTGTTCTGCTGCTAGTGAGAGGCGGGGGATATGAATGTTGTGTGAAGCAGCTGGAGAAGGTGCAGATGGCATTGCTTGTATCAACACTATTGCAGATGTAACATACAGTTTATGGCACAACCTTACTTACATTCATTTGAGTCTGATCTCCCCACTGAGTTTGCAGTTTTGGTGCCTTTTGGAACATTTGAATGTAATATTTTGGCTAATATTATGGCCGTTTGTGCAACATTGTCGCAGTTGAAACACTAAATACATTGAGCAAGCCACTTGGGTGACACATGGGTGTCAGACTGAATACATCTGTCTTTTATATACAGTCTATCTACATGCCACCTTGTATGTTCTTGAAACAGCATTTGGACATTTAATACTGTCAATAAATAGGCTCTGCTATGAAATGTTGAAGAGGTTGTTATTAAAAACATTTTTTGAAGTCTCACCTGCACATGGATGCAGTTACACATTTATTTCACTAGATGGAAGACTAAGGCTTTCCCTTAAATTTGCTTGAACTGAACCACAGCAGGCAGCAACACTGTTGTGATTCAGACTTTTGGTTGTTGTAATCAAATGAATGAAATAAGTTCCAGTTCCTTTTGCAAAGCAGCCCACTGCTTTAAAACTTTGATTCTGCACATTTGTCTCTTTAATCAATGTTCTGCACTAGTTTCGGACATTTTGCCCAAGTTTTGCAGACAGTCTTTTTTTTTTTTTTTAATTCAAGCATTTGTTTCAAAAAAATACTCCTGTCACTCATTTATCGATAGTGACAGATTAGATGGGATTGACGCAACTACCAAAAGCAAGTTGCTGCCGTTTACCAAACTAGACTAGGATTTAGCCACTGATATCACAGCATACACCTATGTTTAAATACAATTTAGGTCAGAAGTTTTTTTCCTGCTGCTGTCTAACAAAACATTCTTAGGTAACCTAGAATTGAATCAAATATTAACCATACTCCCATTGTTCACTAAATAACTATTCATTTAAGACTGGCTAAAGGTTAAAAGCTCAGCGAAGACACAAAAACGATTACAACTGCATGTAAATAATTACCAGGCATGCGTGAACTGACCTATGATGGGGGTGTCACCCACCCGACCTTCCATCTTGTTCAGCATCCCACCAGTGGAAGTTGCACAGGCTAAGTTGCCCTCTAAGTCAACTGCTACTGCACCAACCGTGCCTGCCTTCCCCCTACAAAAGAGAGCAGAGCAGCAGAACATATGTGAGAGCTCTAGTTCTTTGTTCTGTTTTGCTTTTTCCTCTCCGTGTGTCAAATACACTCAGCGGCCACTTCATTAGGTACTCTTGTTTAACTGCTCAACACCAACGTCTGTGCAGTTTTCTACAGACTGGTATAAAGGACTGGAAAAGCTCTGCTTCTCTAAGATGTTTGTTTTTTAAATACCCAATCATTTTGCTGACCTGCTGTTAATTTACCCAATTAGTTGCCAAATATTCCTTTTCAGTCTTTTTTTAAAATTCAAAGTGAGATAACATCTTTCTGGGTTTGTGTAAGTCCTGCAAAGACTCGCTTCCTCCCTTTATCTACACTAAGAGACGTGAGTGAAGGAAGTCAGGGTCCACATTATGCAACACAGTGAGCTTATGGATCAGTGCGTGCACGGCAGAGATGTCTATTGATCGGTTACATACTAAAAGGGGTCATTTCATTTCATATTACTTTAAAAAAATGAATGCTAGCAAGCTTAAAACTGTTGTGTCTCACATTTGGCACTCCACAGGGTTGGCATCAGGTGCAAGGTTCTTCCTCCAGCGCATGCGGGAATACTCAGTGATGAGGGACTCCTGGGGGACCTCCTCGATCCCCATGGATCGAGCAAACTGATTAGCACCTTCGGCTGTCAGATACGCGTGACTGGTCTGAAGCAAAGATCAAAGTTCACACTGTAAACAGTTACAGAGCACATTTGAAATACTGTGCTTCGTCCAGACTATACTAACGGTTTCAGTTCAAGCATATAGAATTTTGTTCTTATCAGAAGAAGGAATCATAGCTACAGCTGTAAACATGATTCCACACAGTTCCTGCAGTTCAGTCAGGAGAAACATGCATACCTTGTCCATAACAAGTCTTGCTAGCTGGATGGGGTTAGCTATGTTGCGTACTGCGGACACTGCTCCGCTTGCCAGTGTTTTGCCATCCATCACGATAGCATCCATCTCCACCTCTCCTTTGATGTTCAGCACTGACCCACAGCCTAAAATATGAATTGAGAAATGATGCAGCTCCAAGAATCTTTAGTGTCCTGCAGTGACATATGGCCTGTTGGTGTCTCTTAGGTGATCAGAGCTACACGCAGCAGGTTTACTCAACAACTAAACTGTTTGTTTCTTCTCATCCCAACAAATTCTTATTGACTGCTTTACTTTCACAAAAGAAATACCACAACATCAGTGAAATATATAAAATCAAATAAGAAACATTTGTGTGGTATATTGGTCATATTTTTTTGTGCAGTGTTTTTTTAACCATTTGAATTTGATTCCTTGTGCAACCCAATATTTACAATTTTCTTACACCATCTCACTGTCCAAACAAACAAAAAAGGTAATATATTCATTTCTCTCTGTTCATAGTGTCATTCATTCATATATTTTCACTTACTATGTATATATGTATATATATATATATATGTAACATCATATATATATATATATATATATTTTTTTTTTTTTAACTTTTATTTAACTTTTTTCCATAACAAATTCTGAGTTTCTCCATTACCTGCATTGAAGGCAGGGTTATTCTCCATCTGGCTCACAGCCTCCACCAC